CCCTCTCTCTCTCTCTCTCTCTCTCTTTCTCTTTCTCTCTCTCACACACACACACACACACACACACACACACACACACTTCCAAGCTTGCCCCGCCTGCCTGCCTCTGGAGCACTTTTTGCAGTTGCTCTGAGAAAGCCCAGCGGCCCTGGCCCCCCACTCTCAGGTAGGCACTTTGTAATTACAGTGTTTGCCCGGCCCTAATGATAGCACAGCTCTAGGCCCTGTTCCCTAAGTGAATGAGACCTGGTCTGGTCCATTTTGCTTTGTGATAGACTTTTCTGCTGGGGCAAGTGTTTGCTTAAGGTAATCATAGCTTTTTACCTAAAATCTGCTGAAGCACAGAGGCCAGCGTGTGGCTGTGGTCAGGGGACCGCTTACATATCACCCCGCCTCCTTCCTGTGGGAAGCTAAATGCTCTTTAGTTGTGCCTCCGAATTGGGTATTTTAGGGTAGCGGGGGCAATTTATACCAATCTTTTTCTTTCTTTTTAAAAGGGAAATTGTACCTAAGGAGCTGATTTACTTTGATTTCCAGCTTTTCCCCAAAACACTTTGAAATTTTAACACATATGCGGTCACATCACACATACAGACTAACTTGTTATATTCCCCCAAAGGACAAGTGTAACCTGGCAGGTTAAACCTCTACTATGTCTTGTTAGGGGGAAAATCCCTTAAGCTGACACTGACATGTGGATTCTTTAAAAGTTGATATGAAAGTTCTCCTCTGTGGATAAACTGGTTCCGGGCCCAAAGCGAGTGCCTTGCTCCTGCTCTCTCCTCATGAGCCTTCTGGGTGTTCCCGTTTCAGGCCTCAAGGCGCTCTCCCGCACGCCAGCCATCATCGCCTTGGTGGTCCTGATTGTGAGCGTTGTGGTGATCGTGGCTATCACACTCATCCAGATCCACCAGAAGGAGGTGCTCCTCCCAGGACTGAAGGTAAGTGTGAAGGGACTGGCGTTGGAGGGGAGCAGTGGGCTGTGACGTCAGTTATTCTAAAGCCATGAGTTAGAAGAAGAGAGATGCACTTTCCCCACCTCCAGCTGGAGCCAAGGAAGATGGTGTAAGACCCACGGGCGAAGGTCTGGGGTGGCTTCCACTTGTTCTGGGAGGTAAGAGGAAAGTCGTCTGTTCATACTGGAGGAACGTGCGGAATTAGATAGAAGACTGGAAGAGTAAGCCGAGTAGAGAAAAGTAGACCCTGAGGCATATGGAAGGCACCCTTGAAGGAGGGGACCACCCATGTGTAAAGCTACTGTCTCAGCTGCATCCCCCTACCTAAGATGTGAGGGCGAGCAGGTCACCCGGAGATGGCCCAGGAAGCACAGGGAGGGGCTGGGGCAGTGAGACTGGAGGGAAGGCAGCCCCTGGAGGGCCTGTTACCCAGCAGGGTACCCCTGTGGGTGCTCAGCCCTGCCGGGGATGCTGGGAAGTCCGGTAACTCACTGCAGGGCTGTCCTCTAGGGAGGGAGGGGTATGGAGCGCCTGCCTCCCAGCTGTCCCGCGGGGCTATTTACACACCAGCACCCATCAGTCATCGGGTGAGAGGCTGCTCCCTGGGGAACGTTAACTCTAGTGTTTCTGGCATATTGTGTGCTCGGTCGGCTCAGGCCGCTGGAGAGAGCCTTCGGGCAGGTGGAAAGTGCGTGGACACCACGGTGTAAGGGAGGCCTGAGGGACCATGGGCAGGGAGCCCTCCCCCTGTGGATGTGATTATTACCCCCATTTGGCAGAGGAGGGAATAGAACAGAAAGGGCAAATGGCTTCCCAGTTTCACAGACTGAACATAGCAGGACTGGTATTGAGGGAAGAAGGAGCCTCAGGCAGGGCTCTGGATGCACCCTCAGCGGCTAGCACACAGTTCAAAGAGGGGCTTTAAAAAGAAATAAATTATTGATTGATTTGAGAGAGAGAAAATCAATTCGTTGTTCCACTTATTTATGCGTTCATTGGTGGATTCTTGTATGTGCCCTGACCGGGGATTGAACCGGCAACCTTGGAGTATCGGGATGACACTAACCAACCGAGCTCCCCGGCCAGGGCTCGAGGAGGGGCTTCTCAGTCTCCGCAGGGCCTTGCTTCAGGCCGCAGTCCCGGCTGTAGGGGACGGGAAGTTGTGTAACGTTGGATGTTGGCTCAGAAGGCCCCTCTGCCTCACCAGGTGCATTAACGTCAGGAAAGACACATGCTCTGGGCCAGCTGGCCCGGAGGGTGACAGCCTCCACAGAGAGTGTCCCACATGCAGCTTTTCTCAGGGTGTTGAGGGACCTTTCCTCTCGCTGTGTGTGCTGG